GGTCATGTCTGGCTCTTAAGTATTTCCTGATATTCCACAAAACAAGCCTTTTAAATAAGAGAACTAGTTCTCAATGGCTTACTGCTGCCAGTAGCTTTACTGTTTGCATTAACATAAACAACAAAAGGTTTCTAATAAATAATATGAACCTAGTTCTTTGCTTTAAAATCTTTCCTTGAAGTCTATAATTCAACAAATATACACTTTTCCTTCATCTGTATCTTAGATAAATTTAAGTTTGCCACATTATTCCTAGGCTAACAAATTGATACACAGTGCTGACTTAAATAAACATACCAGAGATATATTTCCAACTTAGGAATTATGTTTCTTTCCTATAGAGTTATAATGAACTACCCATACTAAATTGTGTCTTTAATTTCAGAAATTAAATTTATATTTTAATTAACAGGTAACACAAGAGATTTCAGATAGCACAAGAATTTTCAGGCTACTTGGCTCTGACAGGTATGAAAACAAGTTGTATTAAATACATAGTACTAAACCTGTTTTACTGATTTCATTTTCAAGAGAATTGAAATTTCTGCAATATGTTCAACATTATATATTTCTCACTATAAGAAGTCATAAGCTAGAAGGTTATAAAGCCTTTCAAAATATGTCTGATCTTCCAAGTAACAGGAATTTATAATCTCTTAGTACTATTTTGCATTGAACTTACTATCTAAAGTCTGATTTACAGCGAAAGAAAGAGGAAATACCATATGTTAACAGATAGAACTTGCTGGTTTGAGTGCCAAATATAATTTTGTAGTTCTGTTCTGATTTACCTTCTGATTTTTGAACAGAAAATTGTTCCTAGAATTGACAGTAAGAGTCAGGTTTTCCCAAGTCATTCCTGTAGTTGTGTTCCCCCTCTGAATCTTAGAGGAACACTGGCTTGGTGATAGGCAGCAAAATCACTTCACAGAGCTGGAACTGGCCCTTCAGTCGTAATGGAAGCAAGTGATTTCTGCCCACAAGTCAAATGAGCAGCATTTGTAGAGGCATAAAATGGCAATGGCGAGGCAAACGAAATTTTTTGCTGTCTTCGTGGGTATTCAAGAATAACTTTGTTTTGTTACATGTTTTTTGTTTACTACTTTTAGGGTCGTGGTTTTGGAAAGTAGGCCAACTGATAACCCCACAGCAAATAGCAATTTATACATCCTGGCGGGTCATGAAAACAGTTACTGAGAGAAATGTTGGGCTTTGACAACTAACTCGGAAAAGAACGAACACTACCACTGCAACATTCTGGATGCTTGAAGCTGTACAAAAGCTGCAGTAACCTGGCTTCAGTTCCTTTGTAATTTATTGTGGCATGAGACGAGACTGGGGAGATTTTGTTTTAAGTGGTATGGATATATTTAGCATATTGAACCACACAAGTGCTTAATTCATTGTTATGTAATCTTTGTACATATAGGCAGTATTTTTCTGTGACTCTTCATATTGCTGAAGACATACACTAAGAATTTATGTAGATAATGTACTTTTATGAGATGTACAAGTAAGTGTCTTATCTGTACAGATGTAAATGTTGATGAAAATGCAATTGGGGTTAATATTTTAAGAATTCTTTAGTATATTCCTGGGTGTGGTTATATTACAAAATGGGATGCTGGCAATGAAACAGTACATTTAACACTATTGTATTTTTATTATATGTAATTTAGTAATATGAATATAAATCTTGTAACTTTTAAAATTGTAATGGAGGCTGTAATCATTTTATAATCTTGTTTTTAATTTTAATGCAAGTACACTGGTGTTTATATTTGCACAGAGTATTGATATGTGATGTATTAAGTCACAAAAGTAAGCTGTGACATTGTCAATATGCATTTGGCTCCACACATCTTTTTTAAATGTATTTGGATTGTTTTCTATTTGAAACAAGCCAATTAACCACCTGTTGTAGTAACTAGTCTTTTTATATTTAAGCAGAATCCTGTAAGATTGCTTGTCTGTGTTTAAAACAGTACCTTTGAAAAAATTTTAAATCACAGAATAATGGTACCATAATGTAACACTGAAACTGTTGTCTGAATTACAGAATGCACAAAGAATAAATTAGCATTATTAAAGGTTTCACACTAAGCATTTCATATATCACATTGAAGAACTGTAACATTCCATAGAGTGAAATGGGTCAAATTTTTAGTGGAATTTTTACTTTCATTGGCCTTATTTTATGATTATTTTCATATTTCTTTTGATTTAGAGTATTAACACATGGCCAAAATAATTTAGTTACTACCTCATACAAACAATATAATGGTTACTGCACATCACAGGACTTAGTTTTGGTTAAAGTCATTTTTCATTGCTTTTTTCCAATGGGATATGTATTATATACCAAGTTCTAGAAAATGCACACTTTTGGCTCTTTTTGGTATATGTTCTTTATATTTTAATGTGAGTATATACACTAAGAACAAACTAAATTGTGATTTATGGTCTTCATTTATTTTAATTGAAAATGATTTTAAATATGCTTCTGATTGTATATAGTGTAAAATAAACATGTTTTTTAACATGCTGTTGTATAGTAGCTGTCTTCTGGCTTAATCTGTATGCAGTAACCCTGAAATACATTAAAGAGCAGGACATGATTTGTTTTGCACTTAAATCCTTCAATACACAATTCTGGTCCCCCAAATCATGATCTTTATTTTGATCTCAATTTCATGAAGCCTTAATATTCCCCATATTTATTAAAGAATGGCATGTCTTTTGCAGAATTATCAGCCTCCTGATCAGAAAATCAATTAAACATTCATAGTTTTTGGCTAGAGCAGGCCTTAGCCCAGTCCAACCTACCTGTTCTTTAAATTAAGTTTTATTGAATCACAACACCAAAAATACTCATTTACATATTTTTTTTTTTTTTTTTTTTTTTTTATTTTTGACAGGCAGAGTGGACAGTGAGAGAGAGAGACAGAGAGAAAGGTCTTCCTTTGCCGCTGGTTCACCCTCCAATGGCCGCCGCAGCCAGCGCGATGTGGCCGGCGCACCGCGCTGATCTGATGGCAGGAGCCAGGAGCCAGGTGCTTTTCCTGGTCTCCCATGGGGTGCAGGGCCCAAGCACCTGGGCCATCCTCCACTGCACTCCCTGGCCACAGCAGAGAGCTGGCCTGGAAGAGGGGCAACCGGGACAGAATCTGGCGCCCCGACTGGGACTAGAACCCGGTGTGCCGGCGCCACTAGGCGGAGGATTAGCCTAGTGAGCCGTGGCGCTGGCCTAGTTGAATGGTTTATAAAAAGTATGGCACTCAAAGCCTAGATGTTTACTGACGCTTTAGAGAAAAAATGTGCCAACAGCCTGGAAAGGGAGAGGTTATGGAATGCAGTTATGGAGGTAAGAAATGGAAAAATTAAGTGGCAAGAACTGGATTAGAGGCCAAAAGAAACATTTCTATTACTACTTATGGCACTATCACTTTGACCTCGGATAATTTGCTTTACTGTAGAGCAGTTTCCATGTCTAAAATTGTGTAGATGTTAATAATCATTGCAATTAAGTACATTGTGAATAATCAGCATTAATAACTGATGGCTGTGCTTTAAAACAGCTTTACTAGTATAATGTTATCACTTTGATGCAAAACACAGAAAGGCTTTCAAGTAATCAGGATTCTGTTCTTGGCATTTATTGACAAGGTTGTCGATCCTATTTCTGGCCTACTTTTTTTTGCTGGTTTCTAAGGCATGTAAATAAAGGGTCAAATCTCAAAAAAATTAAGCATTGCATTTAACTGTCAAGCAGTTCAAAATATTTTCAGAAAATAAAGTATCCAGCTGGTTATGTACTACCCATGAGCTTTTAAAAATATCCTTAGAGTCATAATCTTTGAGATTGAAGCATAGTAACCTCTTTTTATAAAGTTGTATGTGCATTCCGGTGTGAAAACCACCAGTGGGATTAAATTTAAATCAATGTTTCTGGGTGTGGTCCAAGTATCACCTACTTAGAATCTTCTTTGATGCCAATTAAATATGCAAATTTCCAGGCTCCATCCAAGAACTTTTGTCTGTTGATCTTTATGTGCTAAAAAGGAAGAGAGCCACTCAAATATTGGGAACAGTCTCTCATCTTCATTGAAATGCAGGCTACATCTCATTAGCTAATTGCATAGACATTGGTTTTGAGAAGCATAATATCAATTGTTTGTAGGCCATTGGCATCATTCATCTTGCAAGTAGGTCTCTGATTTCAGTAGAGACCAAGAAGTAGAGGACAGACTAAGTCAGGCTTCACCTCTATTGGCAAAAAGGTGGAAATACGTACTGTGAAAAGTGAGTAAACACTAAGAATATCCTTTGGTGTGTAATGATGAGTGTTCACTGCATGTATCTGTGTGCCAGGTACACTGCTGCATGCTTAAGTAGCCCCACGCAAGCCCCAGAACAGCTGGTGAGGTGGGTATTAACTCCATTTTACAGATGAAGAGGCTGAGGCCCAAGACTGTAGCTGGTAAGTAGTAGAGCCAAGATTTGAACCCAGGCGCTTGGAATCAAAGTATATTGCATTAACTACTATGCTAGACTGTTACTTAAAATGCATGCAGTATATTCTCTCCCCATTAAAATACATGCAAGCATTTTTCCCTCTGAAGACACTCCAGGGTTTGAATTTCAAGTTTAATTTTCACCGTTTCCTTGCAACGAGAAATATTAATTTACTGTCTTAATATTTTTGACCCTACCCAAAAGCATTTTCTTATTCAGTGTTTTGTATAAGGACAAAAAGATTTACATAAAATTAAATTGACAATGCTTATTAAATTAGTCTAGTTGAAATTCATCACACCACTTTTTTTTTTAACTTTTAGGAGACAGGTACTTAACCAACATGTATTGGTTGTTTACAGTGTATTCGGGCACTTTCCTGGCACTGGAGAAAAGAAGGAAAAGGCATAATTCCCAGCCAGTATTTATCCAGGGAGCACACTTGGATGAATAAAGGTAAATGGCAGTGAGTAGTATTAGAAAGTGATCTAAAGGCTGTGAGTAATTCTGCTTTGGAAAATCAAAGTCTTTATGTGGAAAGATGTATAAACCAGGTTGTTGATAGAAGAAAACGTATTTACCACAGGCAGATAGAAGGCTGTAGCCTAAACAAAAGCATATGCAAACATAACACATGTCCAAGAAAGAGTGCCCTGGAATGCAGCATGGCTTAGAAATGGCATGAAGCTCGAGTGCAAAGATGGGCCCGAATGTAAGAGCCTCCTTATGAGCAAAGTGGCTGGAAGTCGGCAGCCTCGGAAACTGCAGAGGTCAGGTACAACCCTGGGGATGAAAAATGACGAGTAGGTCTCTTCATAAGCCGACTGGTTGTATACTGAACGGGAAGCTTTTCTGTGGCCTAATGAAGGCAGAAGTCAAAGAAATGGGTAGGTGTAAGCTGATGCGTAGATTGGAGTTCAGTGGAAATGTTTGGTCTCAAAAGAAATGATTGTTTCTAGTCTGATTTTTTGCTAAACATGGGAGGAGATCTGAACATAGTTCTAAGGAAATGGAGAATTAATATGGATAAGAAAAAGGGAAGACAGCTGAGGGAGGAAGAGCAAGCATTAAGGACATCCTAGGTCTGACCAATGTGGGGAGCTTTTTACTCGTGCTGAAACTAAAGTGTGCGAGGGCTGGTTACCATACATTCTGCGTTTTTAAATTAGCACTAGGGACAAAAAAGGTAGGTTAGCTTTGGCAAAGTTCTCCTTCCTGAGGGTAATAACTATCTCCATATAGCACTCAACATTAGTTGTTCGCTTGAGTTTCTTCCCTACTGAGTGGCAAACCTGTGCCCTATTCTGAGTCACTCCTAGAGTGCGATGCTTGCTGATGAATGAAAGCGACATCAGTGGGCCACAGCTGAAAAGCTCACTGCTTGTCACGGAAAGGCTACTGGGACACTATGGCGATCCCAAGAGGGCCTCTGCCCTCACGGAGAAGCCGACGAAACAGTGTCTGTCTAGCCTGTCTGGGCTTCATCCCCGCGCTCTTGTTGCCCGCGGCGTTCAGGAGAAAGGAATCAAAGTTTCCGGTGCGCCGCCCTCGCGCACCCCTGCCGAGCCCTCACCCTGACCTCGGGCTCTGCGGAGCGCTCGCCCACCCTGGTGCTGAGCTCGCCTCGGCCCCGGGGAACCCGCTCCGGAAGCCGCCGCCCCGCGGGGCCCGAGCGTCCCGGTTGCCCCGGAGACGCCGCGGCGGCTCGGCTCGCTGGGGAGTTGCTGCGCCGCCGGCCGCCTGCTCACAGCGACCCGCGCGGGCTGCGGCTGCTCGGGCTGCTGGAGACCGCGTCGCCCCTGCCCGCGCCGTAAGTGCGGGTTCCGGCCGCCGCGGCTGGCGGTGGGGCCGGAGGGGTCGGCGTGGGGTGGAGGCTCCCGGCTGAGGGAACCCGAGTAGCCCCCGAGAGAAGAGGAGCGCCCAGAAGGGGGAAGGGGAGGAGGCGAGGGGCCGGAGGGGCCGGAGGGGCCGGGGCGGCGGGTTCCAGGGGAGCAGGGCGGCCGCGGAGGCGGCCGAGTGGGCAGCCCGGGGTGCCCACGTGTGGGAAGGGGTGCGTTTACCTTGGGAATTCAGTATTTTGTGTTTAACTCAGATCAGATTGCTTTAACAACCCGTCTTCCTGACCAGTTTTTATTAAATATAAATGCGTTAGGTTTCCTTGGAAACCGAACAGCGTAGCAGGCTGTAAGTTTTGGCCTGTCGAATCCCAGACGGATCGGGCCTGGTCTTGAAAATCTCCCTTTTCCCCTCATTCCTAGAATCTAATGGATGAAGAAATCAGTGGGTTTTTCGCTGTCTGTCCCGCGCCCGGCTTCTCCCCGTTTGTTTTGCTTTCTTGCTCTATTCCTTAGGCTTATGTGAGCCCCGGGGACTTGATTTGTGATACAGTCATGGAAAACAATCCATCCCTTGGAGTGTTCTGTTTCTGTGTGCATCATATTGCAAATCCTTGTGACTAAGAAAATTAAATAGAAAATTCCCCAAGGAATTTAATGATCCATTCAAGTGTCTTTCTGTAGTCACTATGCCTGACTTTGCTTTTTTTATAGAATTTTGTTGAGAATCGAATATTTTGTAACATTCTTGAGTTGAGAGGCCCTGTAGCCAACAGGCAGATGGCCGCAATGTGGACGCCACTGACACCTGAGAAATATTTCTACCGGTTGCACCCCTGCCCATAGCCATATCCGCGGTTTCCTCTTTATCCCCTGCCCCAGTCCTGTTTTATACGCCTCCTATGGCCAAGTACTACACAAAATGTACTTAATGCCTTTGCTTTAAAAAGTCATTTTACATCAGTGGGAAGCTTAGAAAATAAAAGAACATCAGCAGAAGTGCAGGTACCAGACAGTGGGCTCACAATGGCAGCCAGGTGTGATAAACAACATAGAAACAAAAGGGTAGGGGAAGTTGTTAACACAGCCCACTGGCAGAGAAAGGACATGGCTTTGGGGACTGGGGAAGACTCAGAGGGAAAAAAAAGACATTTTGTGTTGAGTTGAGCTATAAAAAAAGAGAATTCAAGGTCAGACATTCCAGACTTAGAGACTTGAAAGTGTTTGGGGGAGGAATCTGAGAAGCAAGGTTGGAAAAATAAGTTGAGGGTCAAGAAATAAAGATATACGTGAACTTCATTCAGTGGCATTTGAGGCCTAAGACGTTTTTGAGAAAGGACAATATCCAATTGTGTTGATGTTTGAGAAAGATGGTTTTGGTTTAGTGAAAGTAGGTATAAAGAAGCAAAATGAGTTGAAATGCTTTACAATAGCTTTATATCGATTTAATAATTTCAAACTTGCAAGAACAATATAATGAACTCCCATATATCTCAATCATTAGTTATTTACATCTTGCTCCATTTACTTTACATTTCCTCTCTGCTTCTTTGTCCATACCTGTACTAAGTATTCTGTGCCATTTGAGAGAGAATTGTAGGCATCTTATTCCTTCACCGTTAAATACTTCACTGTATACTTCCTAAGAACTGGGACATTTTCTTTCATAATTACAGGACAAATTACCAAAACCAGGAATGTAATATCTCACCCACAGTCAGTATTTAGATTTTGCCAATTATTCCAGCTTATTCTTCACCGTTATCTTCCCCAACTTCCTGCCCCTCCTCCAACCCACACCCCACCCCACTCCCATTTCAGGATCCAGTTCAGAATCTCTTTGGCATTTGGTGTTCATGTTTCCTAGTCTCCTTCAGTTTGGAACAGTACTTTGACTTTTGTCTTTCTTTCGTGACCTTAACATTTTTTAAAGAATGTAGGTCAGTTTTTTAGAGAATGCCCTTCAGTTTGGCTGCATCTGCTGTTTCCTCATAATCAGATCTGGATTTTACACTTTGGTCACACATTTGCTTTTTCTAGAAATTTCATGACACTGGAATTGTACAGTATGTGGGTTTTTATGTCTGACTTCCTTCATTCGGAGTATTTCTTTTAATACTCATCCACATTATACCGTGTACCGATAGTTTATTCCTTTTATTATTAAATAATAGTATTTCATTGCATGGATAGTTGCACATTTTATGTATCCAATCATCAATTGATGAGCAAACAAATTGTTTTCAGTTTGAGGCTCTTACAAATAATAGTATTATGAACATTTGCCTCTATTTACTTATGGATACATTTTAAAATTTTTTTCTGACTAAAGACTGAGAAGTAGAACTGCTGTTTATATTTGTTTAACTTTTGAGACTCTGCCAAACTGTTTTTCAGTGGGGCTTTGCCATTTGCATTCCTACTCACCATGTTTGAGTGTTGTAGCTTGGATGCATCCTTATTTGAATTTGTCAGTCCGTTGGATTTGAGCCGCTCTAGTGGGTGCAGAGTGGTGTCATATTGTACTTTAATTTACATTTCTCTAATAACACCCTCTCATGTGCTTATATTAGGTATTTGTGTATCTTCTTTGGTAAAATGTCTGTTCAAATCTTTTCCATTTTTAAATTGTGCTTCACTTTCTGTTGTATTGTGAGTGTGCTTTATGTATTCTGCGTACAATTTCTTTATCAGATGCATGACTTGCTAATATTTTTCTTCAGTCTGTGACTTTTCATTTTCTTGATGGGGCATCTTACTTGAAGAGCAAAAGATTTTAACTGAGGAATTTCATTTTATCAATTTTTTATTTTATGGCTCATGCTTTTGGTGTCACATCTAAAACACCTTTTCCTAACTGAAGGTCACAAAGATTTTTCTTCTATTTTTTCTTCAGTAAGTCGTGTAGTTTTAGTTCTTAAGTTTTGGTCTGTCATCCATTTTGAGTTAATTTTGACATACTGTGTGAGATAAGTAGATGTCTACTTTTTTGCTGTTTCTTCATTTATCCTATTGAAAAGACTGATTGCCCCTCACTGAACTGCTTTTGCAGCTATGGGTTGAATGGTTGTCCCCTGCAAAACCCATGGTGAAATGCAATTTCCAATGTGGCAGTGTTGGGCGGTAAAACTTTGAGGAAGTGATTAGCCATGAGGGCTCTACCCACAAGCCTGGGATGGGTACTATTATAAAACAGGGGCTTTGGTCCCTCTTGCTCTCTTGCCTGCCACCTTCTGCCATGTGATGATGTTGCAAGAAGGCCTGCACCAGGGACTGGCACCTTCATATGGGACTTGCCAGCTTCCAGAACTGGGAACGAATGAATTCCTGTTCATTAGAAGTCACCCGGTCTCAGCTATTCTGTTATAGCAGCACAGAACAGACTAAGACTGCCATAAATAAAAGGATTTCTTTCTTAGCGCATTATTATGTTCCATTGGCATACTCATATACGTCTGGCATTATGCCAGTATCATACTCTCTTATTTTACTAACTTCAGTAAATTTAAGTTAGGGAGTATACTTCCAAGTTTGTTCTTTTTCAGAGTTGTTTTGACTACTCAGAATTCCATGCATTTCCATATAAATCTTGGGTTCATCTTATCAATTCCTACCCCTAAATAAAGCCTGTTGGGCTTTTCATAAGGATGGAATCTTATCTATAGATGCATTTATGGAGAACTGACATCTTGAGTTTTCCAATCCATGAATATGGTACTTTTCTCCTTTTCTCTTCTTTAATTTCTCTCAGTGATGTTTTGTAATGCTCAGCATCCAAGCCTTAGCACTTCACTTATTAAATCTATTCCATTCTTTTTTATGTTATCATGAATAGTTTTCTTTCAGTTTTTAAAATGCTTTTTTTTTTTTTTTATTTGAGAGGCTGCTCAGCTCCCTATCCACCTCCCTGCTAATGCTCCTGGGAAGGCAGTGGAAAATGGCCCAAATACTTGGGCCCCTACACCCACATGGGAGACCCAATGCAGCTCCTGGTTCCTGGTTTGGAACCAACCTTGCTCTGGCCATGGTGGCCATTTTGGGAATAAACCAGGGGATAGAAGATCTCTCTGTCTCTCTGTAACTCTGCCTTTCAAATAAATAAATCTTTTAAAAAGAAAAAAAAAAAGGGGAAAAAACCCTGGGTCCAGCATTATGGTGTAGTGGATTAAGCTGCCACCTTCAGTGCTGGCACCTCATAACCACATTGGTTTGAGTCCCAAATCCCAGCTGCCCCACTTTCAATCCTGTTCCCCACCAGTGCGCCTGGGAAAGCAGCAGCAGTTGGCCCAAGTGCATGAGCCCTTGCACCCACATGAGAGACCCAGAGGAGGCTTTGGCTTCTCTGTGATTCTGTTTCAAATAAAAAAAAAAAAATGACAATGTCAGCATTGTGGAGTGGAGAGTTAAGCTGCCGCCTGTGATTCTGGCAGCCTGTATAGGTGCCAGTTCAAGTCCCAGCTGCTCCACTTCCTGTCAAGCTCCCTGCTGCCTGGGAAAAACAGCAGAGGATTGCCCAAGTGCTTGGATCCCTGCACCCACGTGGGAGACCCAGAAAAAGCTCCCGATTCCTGACTTCAGCCTGGCACAGCCCTTGCCATTGCAGCCATCTTGGAATGAACCAGTGGAAGGAAGATCTCTCTCTGTCTCCCTCTCTCTCTCTGTCTCTCCTTCTCTCTGTAACTCTGACTTTCAAATAAATAAATAAATCTTTTTTAAAAAAATTTAAAAAGTTGAATCTTAAAAAAAAAAAGAAAGAAAAAACCCTATTCATGGAGCAGAATAAATGTAACACAAACTGATTTAAATTACTTCTTACATTCTTTTGGAGATATGAAAAGCCATTTTGAGTCAGAAATTAAAATATAAGACCAGAAATGAATAGAAAAATGTATAAATGATAGTTGACTGAGCTTAGGAAAGAATTAGAAAAGGGCCCAGCACTGTGGCACATCAGGTTAAAGCTCCAGCCTACAGC